GTAGTTACGACTGAGGAAAAATATTTTGTGTTGGGCCCTGTTCATCTGGTGGGTCAAACAAGTAAAATTCCCACAGTATAAGACTCTGAAAGAAAATATAAGAAACGTGAAAAACTAAATGGGAACAGTCAAGAGATGCTACTTGAAGAAGAAATTATGGAAACGTCAACAGAATGAAGGAAAGGAGAATTACTGGAGCTCTCCCAACATAACCACCAAGGCAGAGCCCATCTCAGACTCAATCTGCCTGGGTGCTTTGGAAAAACCTCATGGCTATGGACCACAAATGCTTAACATGGATCTAATACTCCTTGGTCTTCTCTCCAAAATACTTCTTGATAAAATAATCTCACTTTGTATTTGAGGGGACAGAATGAAAATCAGGAAGGATCAAGGGGCAATAAAAACAAATTATCAGTACTCAAAGGTGACCTTTTTTCTCCACCACAAACATGCCTCTTTACAAACCTTTCTAGGAAGACAATCAGTCAACATCTATAAGAGGAACTGCAAGATAATATCAGGACTTCCCTTGTCACAAATAAGACATCTGACTGAGTTTATGAGTCATTTAGTGAAGAGGTGGGCCAAGCTGTGACTTTGCAGCATTTTGTATCTCAGAAACTGAGATGTCTTAATGAAAGTGATAGTTTGCTGCAGCTTCAGTGGGATACACTTTGGCCTTTCTGTCCTTGGAATTTAGGTCTCCCAAAGGCAGCAAACTGCCCTGACGATTTCCAGAAGTTCATTTTCAGGACATCAGAGGCTGCACCCCTAACCTCTAGCAAGCCTAAGGAGTTGCCCAGTCAGTGTTGAAACATCTCATGCAGACAGCCATGAGAATGCTTTCAACATGAGATCTTTCAACACCACAGGTCCAATTTGAAAGAGTTTCTTGGGTTTTTTGAGAAGAATGACACCTTTTATGGAAAGGACACTAGCAAATCCTTCCAGAACAGTTAGTAAGCTTTGTCTTCTAAGGAAGGCACCTTGTTTCCATTCACAGTTCTGTCTAGTCATGCGTTTGGTCATATGTTGCTAGATGGCTGATGATGAGCATAGATTTGACAACTTAGATAGTTTAATGTCATTTGCTCTGGGTACTCCAGGGTGCTTTGTAGCTCTGGTCCAGAATATGGGTTTTTTTCTGTGCCCTGGAACTGTAAGTTCTTTTTTTCTTCTTCAGGAGGTCAAGGCAGAGAACTCTGGTGGTTTAAGATGCAATTCTGGCAGGATCAGTTAGGACTCAAAGCAGGCAGATCAGAGGACAAAAGTGTTGTCACACTACTTACAGAAAGTCCAGATAATTTATGTTACCCGGTACAAAAGCCTGGGAATATTTTAACACTATAAGGAGACACTAGCAAATCTTTGTTGCTGCATGAGAACAGCTGTATGTGCATTAAGTTCATCTTGAACTAGTAATGAGAAAATCCTTTGTTGATACAAACCAGATTAGTTCAGTAGACTTTCTTTCAGCAGTTAACTTAATCCATTGGGAGTTGGTGGCCCTATTGTTACAGAACTTTCCCTATCAGGAAGGCTTGCTGTCTATGTCCACCCTCCTGTTCCTTCTACAAGGCCTTTCCTCTGAGACTGCATCTGGGCTCAGTCGTTGGTGCAATGCTATGTCCCTGGTCGGAAAGGACACGTTTGGATGGATACAGAAGGTTGGCTAGTGATGAATGTTTATATGCTTTGGACTGGAAGTGACTTTGGTGTTAAAGTAGGTGACAAGGGTGAGGCTCCAGAGAAAAGGGAATGAGTCCCCTGAAATTGTGGGTTCTTTTTCTGCTACCAGCTTAGAACAAAGAAGTTATAGATATGGCCCTGTACTTCAGCACTGGCCAATGATTATGGCTTATCTGATGGTTAAATACATTTGCATCCTGCTTTTTATGGTGCACTTGTACTGGTGTCATCTTTTCTCTGACACTGGGGTGAAATAATCACAGATAAAAATTGGAAAGATCCTTATGCATCCAATAACCTATCAATTAAATGACTGTATTTTTTTTTCTTTTTCAGAGGCATAAGCATAAATTACATATTAGGTTTTCATATCAGATTCCACTGCTTAGTGACTACAGAATTATACTAGCTTATTACTTAGAATAGCAAGGGTAAGATTACACCGTTGATTCCCTCACCAAAAATCTCACAGCTTAGCCCATATATTTCTCAGGCTGTTCACATATTTTGTTTACTTTCTTCTCTTTTCAACACCCTGTCACGGGTCAACTGACATTCTTCCACACACCCAGATTTTTTAATGTTAGTGTTCCTATGATCGGTAACAAGAGTCACATAAAAGAACAGCACAGAACACTCTTTCAAGGGATGGCGTTGTGAGGAATGTCTTAATTCAAAAATCATACATTCAGATCTAGAAAAATTCAGATTAGCAATGCTTAAGGTTTGTACCAGCTAATGTGTATAGGATAGGTATGTCAATACAGAAATGTTTAAGCAAAAGTAAAATGACAACTTGCTCTGTAAATAAAGGCACTTAATTGCCAGTAAGGATCTACGAGGTGGTTCTAGTATGCTGTTTGTTCACCAGCAAAAGCTGAATCACCTGGTTTATATAATTGTCATGGTAGTTGTGCCCACCATACGTTAAAGCTGCATTTCATAGACAAAAATGTCACATTAGATATAATTTCCAGTAAAGTTTGTGCTATCTACTGATCTAATTGCTTCTGACAGTCTACCATTGTATTCAAGGTCTTTCAAGAAAATTTACTGTATTGAAAGCAATGCAACCAATTCAGGATTTGTGGATACCATAAGCAGAGAATTTACTGGGAAGATAATTATTTTCTGAAGCAACTGGTTTTAGAAGAACCCCTCCTAAGCCAATGCTCTCAACTAAAATAGGCTGCTGGTTACCTACCTTATGTTATACCCCGTTTCCCCAGAAAAACCTACAGAAAGAGTTACCTTTTTTACATGCAGAATGATATTGATCTGAAGAAATGTCCAAAATTTTCTATGTGCTAACCTATTGTGCCTCTGCTTCTCTGCATCAACAACAGTGGATAGGGCTGAAGGGATTTGGACCATGGCCCCAGTCTACACTTCCTGACCTATAGAGGCTCTGCTCTAGCAGCAACCTGGATATTGTAGAATCATAGAAGAATTCAGGTTGGAAGGGACATCAGAGGGTCACCAGTCTGACTTCCTGCTCAAAGCAGGGTCAGTTATGAGGTCAGATCAGGCTCTTCAGGGCTTTATGCAGTCAGATCTTGAATACCTCCAAGGATGGAGAGTAAAAAATGACAGGTGTTCATATGGTGCAGAAGACTGTTATATTGCTAGGTTTTTCCATCCTCATTCAGGGATCGTCTAAGATCCAGTGTACTCCCAGAGGTAAAATACAACAGCCAAGTGTTGGAAATATCACTAACCTCTGAGCAAAGGCAGAATAAGGAAATTCTTTCAGACTGCCCATGCTCAAGAACAGGAATGAAGGGAGGAAAGAGGTGAGACAAACATTCTATTTCTTGAAGATTTTAATTATGTGTGTAATAGGAGACAGAGACACGCACCAAAGAATACCCAATAGTCTGGCAGTGAAAGTACGTATTTGGTTTTGAGATACAAAATTTCAAATCCCAGGTCTAAATCAGCAAAACGAGGAACCTCCATGCCTGTCTTCCACTTCTGCAATCAGTTTCCTAATCATGACTATAAGTTATCATAGTGTGAGCATGGTCAATCCCACAAATTTTTAAGGAAAAAACTCTAAAATCTTTGCGGTTGTATGGCTTCCAGGCCACCGATTTGAAACTTCAAACACCCATGGGATTGAAAAAACACTTTCTTCCTCCTCTTCTCTAAATCTACTTGTTTTCCAGAGAACTATCCAACCTAAGTTTGAAAACTCCAAAGGTTTAGTTTCCTGGTACAATTTCATTCCAACATTAAATTCCACAGTTTTACTGCTGATTCTAAGAAAGAATTTTCCACGTTCAAGAAGTTTCCGTATTCAAGAAGTTACACTGCTGCCTCTGATTTTTGGCTCATAATTCCTATTTCCTGATTAGAGTGTATAGAGGAAAAACTGAACTTAATCTTAGTTCTCACAGTCCTTGAGGGAAAACTATCTCTAGGTCAGGCTCACGGGGAAATTGCAGACCAAAGCACTACCCTTTCTACACCTACATTTATAGCAGGGCTGCATCCAGAGGGAATATTTACTGCAGCACTTAATAGGTTTATCAAAGGTAGGACTTCAGCTGCACAAGCTGCAAGACCCTTCAGGGATGGGAAGATGATTGTTTTTACACTGATGGTCTTTGCCAGGGTGCTTATGACTGCTTTGCAGCTACTTTGCGCAGGCACAGTTGGTGTAAAACAGCCTTTGGCTACTGATGAATCAGTCCCCTACTCTCAGCAAAGACTGAAGGATTTTGTTCAATGTCCTTAAATGGGATGAGTACATGTCACACCATGGCAAGAAATCAGTTTTGAGTTAATTCTAAGTGGCTTTTTGAGAAAGAAGGCACAGGAACAGTAAAGAAAATTTAAAATTCTTGTTCTTTTTATTTAACTTTTTGGCTTGGATTACTCAGCTCTTTTTCCCTGTGGTTGCAATGTGCTTTACGTAAAAATGAAATCTTGTTAGACAGAGATTTCAGGTATTCTGAAGTGAGTATGAATTAGCTTTCGCTGTATAACAGCAACTGCCCTGGTAAGAAAGCCACAGAGAAAGTCAGGGTGAGAAAGCAATGATTTTATGTATTTTTTAGGAAAATATGAAAATGAGAAAAAATGCCAGTTTCACGTTCATTCATTTTTCCTCTGCAAGTATGTGCTTTGTGATGTAGCAGAGAATCTACGTGACTGTCCCTTTAAAAGCCATCATACCAATCAGCAGGTTTAACTGTCAAGCAAGCTGATGTAGGGCTCTTTGAATTACTGAGTGAGGGATATTCTTCCTGCCAGGTCCTGTCCCCTGTAGGCACTGCAGAGAAGTATTATAGGGCAGTCCTTACCTTGGGAATTAGCCTGCAAGACCCCAATGCTGTCATCAAACTGCATAGATTTGATGTTGAGTGACGCCAAGATGCATTCCTTGTCCTGCAGCGAAGCATCATCAATATTATTCTGATTGGCTGACAGGATAACGCACATGTCGCAGAGGTTGATGTTGACAGCCCTTAAATCAGCCCGACTTAATGGCGTACCCTTCGGCACAGAAAAAATAAAGGGGGGGGGAGAGGAAAAAAGAAAAACAAATTAAAGATTGAGAAGGAGCTTTGGGAAATTATTTAAGAAGTATCTTTTTTATGCTCTGACATTAAGCTGGTCTAACTATGTGCCAGGGAATAGGACATGTGTGCTAATCTAAAGGGTAGTTGGTGCTGATGGCAGCATTTTAGGTTCAGTCTCAATACTCAGTCAAGCTATTACTAACAAACAAGAAACAGGAATAATGCCAGCATTCTACATCTCATCGGTGACTTGAAATTGTCTTGATTTAAGTTGCTATCATGTGGCAACCTCTGGCTCTCTGAATATAACAAAGGGTGTGTTTTAAATGTCTATTTATCTACTACTGAGTCACAATGGTCTTGGGCAAAAGAATAGCAATTTAAACAGGAAAGCATAATGTGTCCTACACATTTGAAATGCAATCAGGATAAAGCTATTTTTTTCTCACCTGAAGCAATACACAAAAAAGGTTAATTCTTTTCAATGCATGTTTTTGGTGCTTCTAGGAGGAAAACACACTGATCTTCAAAGTTTTGTGATTAAACCCTTTGAAACTGAAACAAGACTATCTTAATGGGAAAAACTCATGCAACATTCACTGCCTCCACGATTCTCAATCAGAGAATGCAATAATTAAAAGGAAATGCTGTGATACTCTGTGGGGTTTTTTTCATAGTTAACACAACCGAGACATGACACTTAACCCATTATGATTTGTTTAAAGATAACACTTGCCTTTCACATCCAACAGTCCACATCTCTAGTTACAGAATATTAAGTGCATGTCACAGGGGCTGCAAGGTCCAGGAAAAAAAAGATTTTTTTTATGGAAACTAGATTCTGCTCTGCTGCCTCACATGGTTTGGTACCCAAAGACCCTAATGATGATGAGGAGACTAAGCTGTCCCCTTGTCACACAGCGACTTTCATAAAACCAAGTCAAGACCCTGCTCTTCCATCTCCTGATCACTCATGGTGAACGTCTCCTGAACTCCACTGAGAATATTCAATGCAAAAGTGAATTTTAAATGCACAAAGTGAAGGCAGAGCTCAATTCTTATTCAGTGATTGCCAACTACTTTTGATACCTGCCTCGCTATTCCACATTACTTTCAATAATTTGAGGAATGAAACCTTGTGGAAAACACTATATATTGAACTATATGATTTAGTTATAAAGTACTTAAAAGTTAGGATATTCCTGCCACCTTAATTCTGTCCTTTGTGTCTGTAACGTGCACCACATGAAGCAGGATTCCTGTGGGGAAAAATAATATGTAATCATATAATTAATTAAAGGCTTACTCCTAATGATTTTATGCAAAGGGACAGAATTAAGGCTGCCTGAGGATATTTAAAATTGGCATTTGCGTACTTTTTAAGAGTTTATTCAGCAGCTTAAATGCCTCCTTTAACACAGACTTTAAATTAATTTTCTGCTTTTTTTTTTTTAAATCAGAACAAATATTTTTTTTATTTTCAGCTGTAACCACATCCCCATGAGATAGCAGCAGCAAGTTTTACCTTGTGAACCAAAGCACAGAGAAGTAGGAAATGAGTTTGAGCAGCCTTCCTTTACCACCATGCCTACCAGTATGATCTCAGAAACTTTAGTAGACTTTTAAATTAGTATAATTAGATGAGAATAATGCTGATATTTTTAACTTCATATCACCATTTTGAACCAGATAGGTTGGGGGAAAAAAAAAAAGCGGGAATGAAGTCTTCAGCACCCTTGATTACTGTGTAAGATACAATTCCTTTATATATTCTGTATTTTTAAAGGCGTATTAACTAACTATTTAAGCTGTTTAACTTGTAATTACTCCAAAACTACTCTAAATTTGGGTACAAACTTATTGGGGAATGTAAAAGCGGTGTACATTTCCTCAGAGTCTCTTTAGAATTCAGAATCAAAACTTTACAAATACATATTATAATAATATATGCACATTATATACTGGATAGTTTGGTAGTAGTAGCTTGATTCTATTCTGCTCTACAGTTCAACAGTATTATTACTTTAATTCTGATTCCTTAGTCTTTAGCATTCACAGTGATTGGAATTAAAAGGGATTGGCAGGAAGAGGAGGATATTAACTGACCAAATCTGATATTGACACCATTTTTGTGACAGCGGAGAATCTTGTGACACCATCTGTTGGAGCAGTTTACAGAAAAAAGCCAAGGGCTAACACTAAAACTGCATTTACAGTAACAAAGACCTACCGCCCAAATTAATCAGAAAATGAAGGCAGTCTTTCCATTCTATAGCTATTTTCCTGATTATTCAGTTTAGGTTACATCCAGCATTGATTCATTTATCTTTAAGTGCTGAAATGTAATTATTAGGAATGGGTAAATTCATAATTTTTCATTTTAATAAAAACATCCAAACTTACTTTACTCCGTAACGTACAGAGCATTCTCTTTTGTACTTATACCATGGGCTCATTTCCCTCCTGCCTACATCTTTGTGGGTCATTTATAGCTATGACCACCTAAGATCACTAGCTTGGAGGGCTTAATCTGTTTGTCCTGGAGCTCGTGCTTCTACATTTTGGGCACATGAGTGAATGATAATGATATATAGGAGAAAAAGGACCTTTGAATTGTGGCTTCAGTGGTTGTCTGTACTAAAATCAATAGGAGCTTTTTATCGATTTCAAAAGGGTCAGGGTTTTACCGTACTTCCATACACGAGTGTAGCAGGACTCTGAACTGAAATGCTATGGCAGTGTTCCTTATAAATTAGGCCAGCCTACAGGAATTTTGTATTAATATAGATAGATATTACATAGATAGAGTAACAATTTTTTTCAAAGGTTTTGTGGGTACAAATAGATAAATAATGTCATAAATAACTACTGTCATTCTGTCAGGGAAATCACAACATCAGAACTGGCTACATGCAGTGCACTACAGTGGATGTTCGATATATAACACAGCTAATACATTTGATAGCAGCTGAAATTCATCCGATGAGGATGATGAGGAACGAAACACTGCGGCGAATATCTTCTAATAAGGTCTCACAGGGCTTTGTTTTCATAGACACAGTAAAGGGAAAATCTAAGTCCTCAGGCCTCTAAGTAGACAAAAGTAAAAAAGCCTAAGATCAAAGTCAATACGAATCTGTCCAGTTGGTGTCCTAAATAAGAAAGTATCAATAACATGGCTTTGGACTTACAGGCAAGATTGAAACCTTGGGGAAGTTATGAAGTGTCTCCCATTCCCTTCTCAGGTATTCAAGTGAACCCACAAACACAATGTGCTTGAGTTCATGGTAGTGAAAGTTGCTGGCTCGTAATGGCATCACTAAATTTCTTAATCCAATCAAAGCAGAGTTAACATCCCCAAATATGCAAACGACTACATGCCCACTTAAAACTGTCATCGCTGCTTCACTTCGAGTCTAAAAAAAAAAAAAAACAACAAAAAAACAAAAAGACAAGGGAGAAATGAAACAAAGGGAAGTTTAAATCATATATTGAGTTTTAAACCAGGAAAAACACAACTGTCAATATTGTTCATGCACAAAGAAGCAGTTTGATAATAGCTGTTCATTTTACCCTTATTTATCCTTCATTAAATGTGCTCAGCAGAAGAGAATTTTGTTCTTGTTTGCAAATCCTTCAGTGTTTGGGAATTCTGGTCCTGTATATGTTTCTGCATATGTGGATTAGGACTCCGGTTACAAAGTACTATTGGTTTAGCTAAGAACAGAATTTGACCTACTATGCATTTAGCCATTAGAAGGATTATAGAAAAGAGATGCAAAACCATGCCTTAGCTGACGAATCACTAGTGGGTTTTTATTCAGAACCAATTTGAAAAGGAAAACGTGAGTGCCCAATGGTCTTAGTAGGGCTTCGTGGTAATGTACATATCTTGTGAATTGAGGATCATATTCTCTTTGAGTCAAAATTCTTATTTTAAGACAAACTGCCACTACCCTTAGAAGCAATCAAAGAACACTCTACACTGCTCTGCTTTACAATGGATGGCCACCATACTCCACAAGAGCTTCTCTCAGTAAGAAAAAAAATAGTGTGCAAGATCGTGACTAATACTAACTTTTCAGGCTCACTGGAATTCATGAGTTGTTGAATAGAAAGAAGGAAAGAAGTCTCACAGAGAACATTTGAATCTTATTCAGAATTATCTTCTTGTCCTGCGACAAGAATAAATTTTTGCACTAATTTCATCAGTGATAATGTCAGTTGAGCAGGCAACTCAAACACCAAGATGATTAAATAAAGCCATTAGGAAAAAATGACCTTCATTTCTGGAGCCAGTCTTAGCATTATTGCACTCCATCAAGTAGCTACAGATCCACTGATATCATATTGCCAAGAAGTTGTACAGTCAGTACTATAACATAGAAGTTTTGCCAATGAATAAAACTAAGACAATGGTGGACTGCGAAATTTTCCCCTCACTTATCCATATTATACGTCCTTTTTCTAAGTTATGGAAGCATGACAATGTGCGATACAGGTTGAAATATGCAGGGGAGGTGTCCACCATGTAGGAAGAACGGGAACTCTAATTAGAAGTTTTCTCATCAGTTGAGCTTGCAATTTCTCTGGGGCAATTACGTTGGTTTTCATACAACTCTACCAAAAGATTGGTCTTGGCCTTTCAAACAGCAAAACACAAGAGTGAATGCTCAAGAAGCATGTAAGTTTTCCCATGCCTCTGCCTATGGAATACTCAGACTTTACAAGACAGAGACTCTCTTGAAAGAAACCATGTAAAAAATGTCACTCTATTGTCATTGATCAGTATGTAGCCATGTACATTTGACTGTGTGCCAAAATAAGTTCTTCCTACCTGATACTGCTGGAATCTTGCAGAGCCAAAACAGACCTTGGGCAGAAAAATTAATTCTTTTCTGATTGAGGCATCATCAAGTATCAATTAGAAGACAACCTGGGAAATCCCATCATCTTCATATCATGTACTAATTTGTACTTGTGTGGTCTCTAAGGACAGCGTTAAATTTGCATGGATATGAATGTAGACATAAATTGTGGACTGTGAGTTTGAAAAGGTGCAGGGAAGCATTTTGATGGCAGTGTCTTTATTGGTGATGATGCATGAAGCAGAAAGAACCTGTCCAGATTTACAGATTCACAGGCTAGTCGGGTGAAAATCTGACATGGCATCACCAAGAGATGATAAATGAGGCACTCCGCAGCACCATTTTTGGAGAAACGCTTTTCAAAGTGGGGCAACACATAAAGGTTGTCTGCTAAGATGTGTTTGGAAAGTGAAGGCAGATGTCTGTCTCTGTCTGTTACAAAGTATTGTACAGCAGGGGTGCCTCTCCTTGCCTGCTGAATACATATCAATGAGTACTACTTACAGCTGTTCAGCCAAACTCCATCTCACAGCTCAGTCTCTAGAATTTGGAATTTAATTGCTTGACTGTTTAAACAGCGATATTGCAATTCCAGGCAATGTCACGGTTATTACAGAACCCCCTGAGGAAAAGCGGAGACAAGCTTTTAACCCCTGATTGCTAGAATAAACCAGAGCTGTCACCATCGTTGGCTACACCACGCCACAGTGCAGGAAAATCTAAGAGAGCAGGCTCAGGAAAAGCTTTATGAAGTGCGACAAAGTGAAGATCCACCGGGGAGTTCATTTCAAATATCATCAGTTTTGCGTATGAGATCTGGAGTTAGTTACTTGTTACTCTAAGGTATGAGTACATGAACACAAGTGGCACAAACTTTCACCGAGCAAAATAGACTGTGATAGGCCTTCTAATTATTTTTAATGACTTGAGTCAGTTTGATGGTTTCCCCAGTTAAACAAACAAAACAAACATAGACTAGGTTCACTGCAACATGCTAGAAAGGCAGAGTAGTAGTACTACTTACTCTGGCCTATTTGGGCATCTTGAAATGTTGGAAATTGAGAGAGAAGTTCTAAGAGAGCAAAATTCACATAAATAAATAAGAGATAATGCAAAGCAACACTTGCCTGTATTAGAATCATTACTGCCTTGTGTAAAGAGATAAATGGGGTATGTAAACATTTAAATATTTCCAATCTTAATTCTCTAAAGATTTAAATTCAATATACAAATTTCAGCTTATGAAAAAGAAATTCTCTATTTTGGGTCAATTTTGATTGTTGCACTTGGCATACAGATTTATATAGTCATAATTCTTTAACCAAAATGCTAGTTTCAATTTCACCACGCTGTGTTTCTGATTTCAATATGCTGAATATGATGATAGTAGAGATTAATTTATTAATCAATTAGACATCAGTTCTACGGTTCAAATAACCTCTTTTCAAACACAACTTATCATCAATACCTACCAAAATGACCTTTTCAATGTCCTTGGCTGGACACCAATGAAACATCCCTGTAGAGTCATATTTTTTCACATTGGCATCCATATTGTCAATCTGCTCGTTGCCAGGAATTAACAAGGGGTCATGCCTGGGGAAAAACAAGTTGAGGACAACATAAGTGGAAAATATTATGAATTATGAATGGAAAGATATCCCAAGAGCTGTGTACAAAGAGGGATAAAAGTAAAAAAATGAAATGTATTTACACTTTAGCATGCTTTCAATGCAGGCACTTTTAAATAAAAGCTGAAAAGAAAAAAAAATTAATTTTTAAATTTTGGGTGCAGTTTCAAAGATTTTCTATATGCTTTCTATACCAATAACCACTTAGTTTTAAGCAGGCCTTTCTAATACCATCACATCTATAAAAGTTTTTCTCTCCAATTCCATCCCTCCAAAATAAATATTGGAGTTTCTATTAGCATCTGCAATGAAGTAGAAGGGATAGGAACAGAGCCCCATGCTGACTGACTGGCACAAGTATGGAAAGCCAATTACTTGCTTTTACCACATACAACTTCTGACGTGATGCTTTTCGCAGTAAAAGCTTTAACAGGCTGCACTTTAAATATTTTAGCAATTTGCCCAATCGTATTTTGCTTTCCCAAACTGAAGCCCTTTAAAGATTCAACAGTATGTCATTTTAGAGCAGACTGACTAACAAATGCCCACATCTGGAATACATGATTTTAATAGCAAACAACAATGTCCATTTTCTCTGACAACTCTACCTGTGATAACCTTCTTTTTGTAGCAAGATTTTAAAGCACAAGGCTTCTCAAAGGAGAAGCAAATAAAAGACATATTTATAAACTTGCTCTCCAGAAATGTAGTAACATCTGAGCACAGACACAGACAGTTCTTTAATTTATATGCTAAAATCAAACATTAAGCTAAGTACTGAGTTGCTCCAACACTTTCAGATGCTAGGGAGGACCCCTAAGTGATTGCGTTACACAATAGCATTAGGAGGACCATGTCTACAAGGCACAGGGTAAACTGACCCTAAAATCTGAAATTCAAGGAGAAAACAGAGCTTCATGTGGCAAAACTACAGTCTTAAGGTTTTTGTCATGAAATATTCTGATACAGATACAGAATTGTAACATTTCAAAGACGACAATATTTGCAATGTATGAATATGCTAAGTTCTCTGAGACAGGTAGCCAAATTTTATAGCAGTTTGCCTTTTGAAGCCTGTTAAAGAAATGCCCATATTGGCTGAACTCTCAAAACTGGAAAGTTTCCTGCTTTTAAAGCCAGCAGACTGTGGTAAGAAACTCTCTTCTGCACTGGTTACTAAAGCAGGCTTTGAACACTGTGTATGATACAGGTTGATTTACCCTGACTACAGTACGATAAGTTACCATGCTTAAAACAGTTATGCTTGCATGCCCAAGAAAGGTATAATCTCCGACTCCATCAGGGTGATTAATTTGTGTAATTTTATAGCCACTGATTATATATTCACTGAAATCAGTTGAAAATTCTCATTCATTTCACTCAAAGAGGGTCAACTGCATAGATAGTGGCTTAAATGAACTTGCGAAACTATTAATACAATGTTCCATTTAAACCAGAAGCTTTTGATGCCTTAAGAAAAAGCAGTGCACTACATGGCAAAGGCATAAATCAAACTCATCTGGAAAAAGAAACACTATGTTTTCAAAGTTTGTTGTTTTTTGGTTTTTTTTACATTCACTCAAGAGAGATACAGTTCAATGCATTTCACTATCAACCCACTGGCAGCAGAGTCGTCTCTAGGGCACTGCCTGGAGTCTCTGACCCTACTCCAGGTTTAATAATGAAAGGCCTTGCATAAGTGTACTCCCTCTTTTGTGGGAGGCAGAGGTGACAATTTGGTGCAAAAGCTGTACCAAAGGGTTTTGTTGGGGGTTTGTTGTTGTTTGGGTTTTTTTTTAATTTCTAGAAAAATATCAAGACTCTGCATTCCCTTACTCCGTTCGTCAGTGAGCCGCAGCCATGGTGGTCCTGGCTGAGAGCTAACTGCGATGCTGCTCACAGGGCATTCCTTGCTGCTCATAGTTGCGTACGGTACAGTGAGGTCTGCAAGCATGGATACAATTCCATTTGAAGGTTGTACTAAAGTTTACATTAAAGTGTACAGCATTTAGCAGCGCTCTGTCCTAGCTATTTTTTCTGATGGAATGTATTAGCTTTGTGTTTCCAGATAAGAAAGTTTGCCAAAAGCTTAGGAATCTTCAGGAGCTTCCATTGAGAAAAAGTTTTACTTTCTGTTTTGTTTTTTTCCCCCCTAAATTTTGACAACACATTTCTCCACCAGCCTCTCATAGTGCAGCACTGAAACAAAAGCTAAGTCCACTGATCAAATTACCTCCTTTTTCTTTCAGAAATTAGATGCATATAGGAAGGAATTTTCCTTTTCCCTTTCCCTTTATCAGAGAAACTATAATAAATTAATTTGTAAAACATGCCACCTTCTAATTTTCTAACCACTGTTTCTTTTCTGTTCTGAGATTCAAAACCTTTCACAGAAATGAGTATTTAGTAATAGTCCAATCCCAGTCACAGAAATGATACAAATTGAAAAGAATCTTACAACAAAGCAGGTGATAACAGATATCTGACATCAGATAGGTCAAATGCCTTGAGGTTTGAGGCAATTTTTAGTGTGTGTGTACTTAAAGCCTAGCGTAGCTCTCTTTTGGGTAAGGGCCTTGCATCCTAAAAGGGAATATTCAACGTAGCTTGTGCCAAAGATTTATTAGAAATTTATCTCCATATTATTATTTCTAATTTTCTTAGGTTTAAAATAGTGTGCTATGGAAGGGACAAAAAATGTGAAGCATCAGATTGAAGTTTTAGGTAACAAATTGTGATTTAGTTATAATTTTTTTATTTTTTTTTTTAAACCAATACACGCCCTTATTTGCAATGTGATAAACTGTATGGATCCTCTGCTTCACTGCTTGGAGTACAGCAAGTGGGAGCCTTAAAAGAAGCAAACAGGATGGGACACGCAACAAGAAAGTATGCTGATAGATACTATTGTACTACTTTTACTCTAGGAGAATGGATTATTGCCTGAGTAGGAAACTGTGAGACTAGCTATGCTTTGTGTTTCAAAATCTGTGTTTTTTTCCATATCAGCGTGTTTATTAAATTTAGATCTTCTGGACTAAGCTATTATTTTAATCTCTCTTTAATCAATGATTTTTCATTCTCAGTAAAGCGATGCCTGAAGAAGTCTATGGAGGTTGACAATGTTTACTACTAAGGTCCAACTTTGTCCTCAGATGTTAGAAGATACACTGATCAACGTACTTAAAAACTGAATTGATCTTTGGACTTTTTAAAAAAAAATAAAAATTGTCATTTTCTGAAGTAATACAGTAATAAAATAGTATTACTACTTTGGATATACACGCTCTCGTTACAATAATGATAATCTAAACCTGTTTTGCACATACTAAAAATTAATTAAGACAGACACACAGAGGCCAAGGCTGTCAAATCTGCCTAAGGGGTTCAGACACCCTCTTCCCATTAAAATTTATATTACACAAAGCATTACAGTTGTTGCCCTTACAGCCAAATCATGGACCGAACGTTTCTAGAGCCTCTCTGCCCCCCCTCACCCTTGGAGATGGCCCTGTCAAGCCACGCTTGAGCCACAGTGGCAGGTTACTGTGGAAATGCCTGTATTAGTGCTGCAGCTATTATGTTCTTCAGGGCTGTAAGGTCATCTGCTTGAAAAATTCAAATTATAGGAAGAAAACTATCTTCTATCAATTAAAATCCACAGTGTTTGTTTTAATTGAGATGTTGGCTTTTGTGGCTTGCAATGACCAAAGCATTTGGTCATTCCAGCTAGGAAAAGGCAGGCATGTATAGCATGCATGGGAGAAAAGGAGCAAAAGTTAAATTTCCCTCATCCATAACCTCAGTTTAAAAATAGCTTTTCTGGTTCTTATGGCAGATATTACATACGCATGACTTAAAATTAAAAGCAAAATACCATCTTCTCAAGGTTTTGAAGAGCATATAATGCCACTTATGATCAATTAAACTTGAAAATGACACTAAATGCCATGCTACAGCTGCAACCCCAAAAAGCTTGCCTGGAAGACAACAGCCTAAAGCAAAACCATAAATCCCACTTCCAGTAAACCTATTGTGAGGGAGTCAACATTACATTTTAAAGAGCACTGCTTTCCTAGCACACATTTATAGCTACTGCCAATTTTTTTACTTGGAGTTTTTGAGTCTGGAACTTGGGAGTAATGACTGGGGATGGACAGAACTGAAAATATCATTTGGGGCAAAATGACTGCCTCATTAAATTACCAGTGTTTAGCATATCCTTGGATTCTGACGCATTTGTCTTAACTCTCTTGCTATCATTCATATGCAATGGAGTATTAGAGCAATATACTCTCATTGATCTGCTGTGGAACTGCTCTATATGTTGATCACTGGGAACAAGAATACTATATGACCAGTAGGGACCCTGATGCTGTTGGACAATAAACTGTAACCTGTTAGTCTTTGTACATCAGTAAAACAATGTCTTGGCTACTTTTTATTCTGCCCTCCAATAAAATTCTCCTTATATAGAATCAATGGCAAAACACCCCTGGGAACAACACAACTCCTCTTTAACCTGCATTTGTTAAAGTCTGCAATTATGCCTTTCTCAGGTAAATATAATATATCGGAATTTTGCACACAAAAAGACGTTCAGTAATCTCCTGCTCAAGATTCAGGGTATTGAGACTCACCTTGTATGTGGGCCAGGAATTTTGAGTTTTCCTACATGTGGGAATTTTGAGTTTTCCTTTCCTGTATGTGGATATGTATTCGCAAATGTATGCACACACATACTTAATTTTAGGAGGAAGGAGTGGGTTTGCAGAAGGTAAGATAGGAATGGAAGACACACTAGAGAATGTCTCATGCCTTTGAAATTTCTCCTACAACTACCCTAACAAATTGTGGCAATTAACATGCTGTTAGTGTTAGATGTATGCAGCCAGTGCAGGTGCTAATAATTGAAAAAGCATTTAGAGCTTTTACACCCTGGCTGAATATTTCATGATGTGCTGC